CTGAGGGCTCTGCTGCAGGGTCCTCGTGTTTACCAGGTGCCATGAGAAAACAGCACGTGGAAGTTTGCCTCATCGAGCGTGTGCCTGGGCTCTCCTAGAGCACTAGGAACATTCGGACTTTATCTCTTATGATTTGGACCTTTTGCTGACCTTTACAGGTTTGTGGGGCTTGGAGTCGTTAAAACCTGCATTCAGATCCTGCCTCAGACACTTGATTAGCTGGGTGATTCTCTGAACCTCTCTCAATTGCACTTTTCTCATGTGTACAATGGGAGTAATAAAAGCTCTTATATCACAAGATCATTGGGAGAGTAAAGTGATATTTTTTAAGTGCCGTGGAGCATTCAGATCATTCGCAGGTTATCCTCCCTTTTGCTGCTTGGCCAGTGCCACCTTCTCCTGTGACCCTGGGTGTGCTGGATTATTTATGTCTTTGGCTCCATCTCTGGCATGCCAAGTCATTGTTAGTAGTCAAGTGTAGCTTTCCTATACCTTACGTTGGGGTCCCCATTGCCTTTTGGTTCCTCTGTAGTCTGGGTCTTTGGAGACCGTTGGATTCTATGATTGTAGTTGGGCAGCATCATCAGCGCATGTATCTGAGGCTGCCCATGAACAATGAACTAGTCAGAAAATTATATATAGCACAAGAAAATCAGGTGGTATTGTCCTTGGGAAACTGCATGGTACTTACTTTTATGATCTCAAGCCTTTCTCTGGCATAAAATCCCATCTTTCTAATGCCCGTTTTCCCAGTATGTGTTTGTAGTGACTACTCTAAATGAACCACATAGCCATGGAAGGCCTCATTCATCTGAGATGCTGCCAAAGAGATGTTGTCGTTTTGTCTTCTCCTTTGTGGTTAAGGAATTACCATCAGTCAGTTAACAGACATTGATTAAATGCCTACTCTGTGCCAGGCACGGGGAATACAAAGTGAGAAATGAAGTAGCCCCTGCCTTAAAAGGGGCTTATGTTCTTTAAGCATATACAAAATAAGGAAAAGATCATTTGGGGGTAGGAGGTATTAGCCCATGGGGAGGGGGGAAGAACTAGGAAAGGCCTTATAAAAGAAGGGGATTTGAAGAGGCAGAAGTTAAGTAGTGCATTCCAGCCCTTGGAGACAGCCCGTGCAAAGGGACATGGAGAGGAAGAAGGCATGTTGTATGTCCGTCACTTTATTAAGTGGTCCATTATGTGCCAGGCTCTGTGCTGAGCACAGAGGATACAAAGAGGCAAAAGACCTCAAGCAGAAAAGCCTATTTATCTGGACCAAAGGGTCCAGGGAGGCAGAGGAATGTCTGTAATGACTGGAAAGATTTTTAAATACAAAAGGAGTTTGTATTTGACACTAGAGATACTAGGGAGCCATTGGAGTTTCTTGAAGGGGAAAGGGGAAGTGATGAGATAGAAGAATCACTTTGCTGCTATGTAGATGTAGTTGTCCTGTTATGTCTACTTTTTGTGACAGCATGCCAGTACTGTCCATGGGGTTTTCTTGGCAAAGCTACTGGAGTGGTTTGCCATTTTCATCTCCAGTGGATTAAGGCAAACAAGGTTAAGTGATTTGCCCAGGGTCACATAGCTAGTGTCCAAGGCTGAATTTGAATTCAGGTCTTTTTGATTCCAGGCCCAGCGCTCTTATTGTCTGTGCCACCTAGCTGCCTCCTTGCAAAGATGATGATGCAAATGAATGAAAAGTCAGAGTTAATGATAACACTAGTAATAATAACAGCTAGCATTTTTGGTGGGCTTTAAGGTGTGCAAAGCATTTTATGTAAATTACAGCGTTTGAGCCTCGCAACAACCCTGTGAGCTAGGTGCTGTCATTATCCCTTTTTTATAGACAAGCAGGATTAGAACTCGGGTCTTCCTTACTCCAGATTCAGCACCCTTTTTGCTGTGGGATATGTGTGACTTATGTGGTTGCACATGGCAAAGTTTATGTTGGTCAAGACTAGGCAGCAAGATACTATCTACCAGTGAGGATTTATACAGAAGCAGTATGGTGAAGGAGACAAAACCAGAGAAGTGGGTGATGGAGAAAAGAGGTGGGGAGAGCAAGGAGTAACATGGGCAAGCTGCCCATTTCCCTGGTCTCCATCCGATGTCAAGATACTCGTGAAGGAGTCCAGCCCACACACGAGAGGCCTGTGCAGGGTACAGAGGATGATGTGAGCCTGAGCTCCAAGTGCAGGGGACACTAGTCTGTCTGCTGTCAGACATGCGCCTTGGGTGCAGAGGGTCATCAGAGCTTTGTCTGGCCTTCACCCAAGCGCCCTGCAGGGGTGGCCAGCACACCATCTGTCTGGGCTGCTCACGCCCCTGCTAAAGCCGTTTCTCCAACCACGCCTCGTACGCTCTTGATTTGCTCATGCAGTTTTCCCTTTTTTTAGACCCAGCTCACTTTTCTCCTCCTTTCATTCTCCACTTCTCAAAGCACGTCAGGTAGTGCTTTCTACCATTGGGGGCGGGGTCCTTGTATTTTCTTATTTAATTCTCGCATTCAAATTATTTGTGTTATTGTTAACTTTTTTGCACTGACTGTTTATGTCCCCAACCAAACAGTGACTCCTGTGAAGGCATGAGCAATGTCTTTTACTTTGTATTGTCTAAAGATGCTGTCACAGCACTTTGCAGATAATAAGAGCTCAATAATATGCCCCAGAGAGTTATAGATTTTCAGAGTTGTGAGGGACCTGGTAGCCATCTAATCCAACCCATAACTGAGCAAAAAAAAATCCTCCTCTTATTAACACAAATGGGCGTCCAGCCCAGTCTCGAGGCTCCCAGAAAAGGTATGGCTTACTGCCTCCTTCCTGAGACAGTTCTTCTACTTTTGAATAGCCTCTAATTGTTAGGAGGTAGTGGTGGTGGTGTTTTGTTTTGTTTTGTTTTTTTCTCTTCTCCTAGGCATTGAGACTTGATCTGTCCCTTTGCAGCTTCCATACATTGCTCTTATTCTGGCCTCCTTCTCTCCTCCTTCCTCCCCTCCCCTAACATGGCGGCTCTTCCCCCTGCTCCCCATTCTAATCTTATCAGAGCTAAGCGTGGTGAAGCATGCTAATATAACTCCAACCAGTCCTCACAAGACATGAAATTGAGGCTCTTCACCCTCCTGGCTATCTTGTTCTGGATATTATCCATCTTATCAGTGTTCTTCCAGGAAATGTGATATCCGGAATACAATAAACACAATATTCCAGAGGTAGCTAGCAGCGTAGCAGACTTCCCTAGTTCTAGACACTCTGTTTTTCAATGCAGCCTGAGATTACATCAGCTTTCTTTCCTGCCATATAACAGTGCTGAATCATGTCTAGCTTTCAGCTTACTGAAATCTCCAAATCTTTTCCAGATGAACTCTTATATGGCCATCCCTCCTCAGTTCCCCTTGTAAATTAGGTTTTATCAGATACGACCAAATCTCTGGCCCAAGGATTCTTAACTTGAACTAGTAACTAAGCTAGTAAGTCTGTGAACTTGTTACTAGAAATATATATATATGTGAATATATATGTGTGTACATGTATGTGTGTATGTATATGTATATATACATATACACATATACAGCTATATATAGAGAGATAACTATTTCAATATAATTGCTTTCCTTTGTAATTCTATATATTTTATATTGTGCATTTAAAAAGATGATTCTGAAGAGTACTGAGGCTTCAGCAGGCTGACTGCCCAGGAGGCCTCTGACATAGGCAAGGGGAAGAACTCCTGCTGAAGCCTGTCAGGGTCTTTTTTGAATACTGGCTCTGGCATCTGTGTATTAGCTCTTCCTCTCAGTTCTGTGCTTCTGAAAATTTGGTAAGCATGCCATCCATCTGTATTTAGCCAAGCTATTGATTGTTATTGTTATTCAGTTGTGTCTGACTCTTTGTTACCCTGTAGACCAAAGTACGCCAATACCATCCAGGGGATTTTCTTGGCAAAGTTGCTGGACTGGTTGGCCATTTCCTCTTCCAGTGGATTAAGGCACAGAAATGAGGTGACTTGCCCAGGGTCGCACAAATAAGTGTCTGAGGCTGGATTTGAGCTCAGGTCTTCCTGACTCCAGTCCTAGTGCTCTGTGCATTGAGGCACCTAGCTGCCTCACAAAACTGTTGATAAACACAGTGTGAAGCACAAATGCCAGTGACATTCCATTGTCAAGTTGGCCAGTCTGCAAGCATTTATGAACATTTTAATATGTCCCAGGTACTGTTTTAAGTGCTAGGGAGGCAAAGAGAAGCAAGTTTACTGTCCCAGCTCCCAGAGAGCTTATGTTCTAATGGGGGAGACAACATGCAAACAACTGTGCTCCTTCTGTAGAAGAGTAGATAGAGAGTGATTTCCGAGGGAAGGCACTAGCCTTGAGCTCCTTTCAGTTGAAAGTCTTCACAGCTCATGCTCATTCTGCTTCATTCCACTATCATTTAACCTACTTCTCTCCTTTCCCACGGCTGGTATGAACAATTCAGCCAGATGTTGTCTAAAGTCTGTGGGAAGTCTCCATGGGATGTTGCCAAATAAGTTGTTACCCTGTTAAACAAGAGGGGGTGAGCTTAGGTGTGGACGATGTGTTACCGAGGGAGGGAGCCAGCCACCCACTAGCTCTTGAGATGCCTTCCTCACCTGCTATCCCTCTCCCAGGGCTAGAGCTTCTCTAAAAAACACAGTAGTCACAGGGCTCTAATGGCTTCTTCTTTTTCCTTTTCAGCTCCCGTGGGCAGGCTGGTAATTTCTGTGGCCTTGCAACTTGGAGATTCTACAATTCTTCTATTCTTCTCTTTCCGGCTTCCTTAGCAATAATTATGCTATATGAATATTAATTAATAATTCCATAGCAGTTGCAATGTATGAGTGAAATTCCTGAGTTTCCAGGGGAAAATTATTACTAAGCAGTGAGATCAGTGAAAACTTCATAATGGAAGTAGACATAATAATTTAAGGTAATAGTAAATGACTGTGTTGTTTCTTACTCAGAAACCTTCATTTATTCTTTGTTTTCTCAGCAAAATTTAAACTCCCTGCTCTCTGGTGCCAGCTGTAGCTCCTGCATCATGGACCGATAACTATAAGGAACTCAGAAATCATCTACTTCCAACCCCCTCGTTTTACAGATAAAGGAACTGAGGCCAAGAGGCCTGACTTGAGGCCCACCTTGGGCAAGGCAAGACAGGTGGAAGATCCAGGATCTGACTGCTGCCTCCAAATGTAGAACTCTTTCTATGGTCCCGCCTTGGGATCCTTTAACCTGCCTGGCCCACTCTTTGCACGCCAGAAAGTGCGTTGAGGTGTTTAAAATCTACTTTGCGCCTTGTATTCCCTATGCTTGAGGTATTTTTTCCTGTTGATTTCCTGTGTGCCCCTTTAAAGCCCTTCTCAGAGGCTATGTCTTTCAGTAAACCTTTTTTAATCTTCTCTGGTTGTTAAAGATTCTGCTGTTCCTACAGCTTTGGATTTAACTTTGCCTTTAATTTTGCAATTCTGTGACACATGTAACTATGATGTATTAATGTTAAATTATTAAAATGTTAAATGACACTTGCATTTGTGTCTTATCCGCTTCCTAAAATGTAAGTTTCTTGTGCACTGTGCTTTTTATCTACCTCAGTATCTATCACAATGCTTATCAAACAATTAAGTTGATCCCCCTAGCCGCTAGCATCCTCTGTTGAAAAACTAAATTATTCTCTGTGTGTGTGTGTGTGTGTGTGTGTGTGTGTGTGTGTGTGTGTGTGTGAGAGAGAGAGAGAGAGAGAGAGAGAGAGAGAGAGAGAGAGAGAGAGAGAGAGAGAGAGAGAGAGAGAGAGGTTGGGGGGAGAAAGAGAGGCATAAATTTATACAGTCCCTTGTTAGAATGTTAGCCCCTTGAGGGCTGGGAATGTTTCACTTCTGTTTTTGTATCCCTGGTGCTTAGCACAGGACCTAGGCCACCCATAGTAGGTGCTTAATAAATGCTTATTGGTTGAATAAACTTTTATTGAACAAATGAATGTATTTCTTTTCTGGAGTGAATCCTAAGACTTGGCTTATTCTCTGTCGTTGTCCCTGAGGAGTCTCAGAGGGTGTTGGGTGGAGTTTTGTTACTCCTGTCTTCTCTTAGCAAGAAGAAAATGGATGATTGGGTGCCCCCAGGCCCTTCAGGGTACCCAGCTGGCTCAAAGGAATTTAGGTATGCAGGTTGGCTGAGCTATAGCACACATGGCTTGGACTGCCCCTGAGGGTGGGCTTCAGACTCAGTTACATTTGGAGGATATTCAGGAACTTTCACTTGCCTGGACCTGCTGCTTCTCAGCACAGGCCATCCTTTTAATGCTGGTACCCTGGAGAGTCCTGTGACATTCTCATGGCCAGAGAATTGAAATAGCAGACACAGGAGAGTGCTGCAGCAAGGGTGTAATGTAGAGTGAAGTGGGACAGAACGCAAAAGACATTCTGTTTTGGGGGGGCTGATGAGCCTTCAGCTTGTCCAGTTGTAAGAATGAGGGAGGGATACCAGAGGACCGCTCTTCCTGCCTGCAAGGAAGGCCTGCAAGCCTGTTGGGAAGATGTATGGAGAAGTCAGGAAAAGATGAGGTGGAGAGGCAGAGAGAGCTCTGTGTGAACTCTGCCGATGGAGGAAGCAGCCACATGGTCAGGCCACAGCGAACAGAATCAGGGATTTAGAGATCATCGGGTTCCCCCGCTTTTTACAGGCAGCTTGTCTAGGGGCACTTGGCTAGAGTCTCGGGGTGCAGTCGACTCCAAGTCCAGCACTCCAAGCGTAGATGTATGTGCCTTTGTTCCCATCTCCCCTTCTTTCATTTCTGGATTTCTGCCCCAGAGAGTGCAGGTGTCTTTACTTTGATCTTACAAGTGAATTTTGCCAAGTCACTGTCAGTATCTCCGCTGACAGTCTGAACTACAGTGTACATAAAGTGTACAGTCAAATTGGCTCAGTGCTGCCTCTCTGTCTTCCAAGGCATGTCAGGATGATAGGTGACTGAACAGAGAAAAGGGGATAAAGTGGTGGCAGCTGACTGTGCAAAGCTCCCAGGTTTCCCAGAGCGGCTCCTCTTCACAGTTACAGTCTCTAATTGTAGCTGCCAAAAGGGCAATGTTTGGATTATTGGTTAAAGACATCTCCACATCAGCTAGGACTTCAGTGACAGCTTATTCATTAAAGGTGTAAACTGCATTGAGAGGAGCCAGGGCCCGCAAGTAGCCACTGGGTCGTACTACTCCTGAATTGGAAACTCACACATGATCACTTTCTTTTCTGTCCCAGAACCAATTGGTCCGTAAACATTTATCGAGCACCTACTATGTGCCAGGCCTTGTTATGGTCAGTGGGGAAATGAGGAAAAAAGTGAATCAGTCCTTGCTCTCTTTCAAAGAACTTGCATTCTAGGAATGAGGCACCACATACCTAGCAAAGGACTTGCAAGATAGAGGTGAAATAAATGTAAGGTAATTATTTTGGAGAAAGGCCCTCAGGTATTAGGGTAGGCTTTATTTTAGAAGATGGTGCTTGGACTGAGCTTGGAGGAAAGGTCAGGATTCCAAAGAAGCCGAGGTGAGCAGGGAGTAGTGAGTACCAGTAGAGGGGACAGCCTGTGCAAAGACACAGAGATGGGAGAAAAAAAGTAACGTTACTGGTTTTGTTTTTTATTGTCACTAAGTACCATTAACTAGGAATGTGGAGGTGACTTTTCAAGAGTTCAGGGAATTTTATTAATTGACAGGCTAGTATATCACATAGGATAGTAGCCTCCCAGTGCAGACATGACCCACAAATGAACAGTTTTTTTAATGGTGAAGGAGATAGATTCCAATTTTATGTACTAGGAACCAACTTGTTTTAAAGCTGAGATAATCATGAATCTAAGACCAATAAATTAATTTAAAAATATATTTTATTAAAACGTGTTGCCTGCTTATCAACCCCACAAGCTGCAAAAAGCTAAAATATAAATCTCAATATTTAAAGTCTATATCATCACAAATAAAGACTAAAGGGAGTCTAATATTGTTTCTCTAGGATAAAAATTTCATTGGGAAATATTTCATGAACTAGTAATGACCATCCCCCTCTCCCACAAGAAGTTAACATGGGGGGGTTAAATATGAAAGTATTTTAATTATGCTTTTTGTGGAAAGTGTAAACTTTTGTCAGTCTCTTTTCATCTTTAGTATGTTTTCTTTGGTAATTTTCAGTGTTCTGAGAAGACACCTGTTGTTGTGGGGTTTGAACTATGGAATCAGAAAGACCTGAGTTCAAGTCTTCCCATCCTCATCCTGTGACCCTGGATATTACTTAAGTGGCCCAGAAAAGGCACTGAACTCAAAGGTCCTATTGATTGATCTGAAACTGAAAGGAATTTCCACACTAGAAGTCCAGATTCTTGTGTACATCGATTTGAAGCTGTTTTTATTAATCGGTTAATAAATATTCAGATGTAGGTCTTCACAGATAACTTTCTGGCTGGCTAAAATGGAGGTTCACATGTAAAAATATGTTGAAGGTAGAAATATTAGAATTTTTTTCTTATTTAATTTCTGACCTGGTGTGTGTATGTATATGTTTCTGTCTCTTTTCTCTTTCATGAAGCAAGATATATGGCATATCCTTTGTAGATTGTATATATGCATACATTCCTTTTCCAGAACAAATAAGTTGGAGTTTAAATTCAGTGAATCTAATGCTTTGATGAGGATACATTCAGTGCTTTTATAGGTTGTGTATTGTACCTTGCTTTATAAAATCGATGCGTTTTAAAAGACAGAACTATTATTTATACAAAAGGTTACCCTTTATGGAGAAATTGATTTACTTTTTTGCCTCTGTTACTATGGAAACGCTATTAGCCTGTCCCTAGTGGAAACCAAAATTTACATTTAAATAGAGACATTTTTAAGGGTAAAGACAGAGTAGGAAAATGTAATTTTTCTTAGAAAAATCTTAGGCTATATTATAGACTGTTTTTAATACCAGTATGGGCATAGGAGACAATAGAATGCTTAATAATAAGTGACCTCTAATTTTATTCAATAACAGGAGTGTGAAGGTACAGACATTCTCTATGCCGTTTATAGTAGAGTAAAAACTAATCTCAGACTTGCTGTGCTGGACCAGTGATAATAAGAGTCTCATTAACTTTAATGGAAATTTTTCCTATGCATTTGTATTATATGGGAGGGATGCATTAAACATTTTAAACTATCCTGCTCAATATACCTCTTATTGGAGATTATGGGATTTATGGTAACTTTTGTGAGGGATAATTAGTGATTAGGTTTTGACATTTGCTTTCTGAATGTCTTTGTTTCTTCCCTTAGTTGTTATATTTTTTACATTCCCATATTATGGTTATTTTTCTACTTCTGCCTCATGTGTGCTAGAGGAGGGTGTGGCAGTGGGGGCAAAGGGAGAGAGTTGTGAGGCTTTGAAGAGCTTGGACCCTGTAGCTGCTACCCTCAGAACTGAGGGTATGTGAACCATGGGTGGGGGGAGGGGGGGGAAGAGGGGAAAAAGAAGGAAGAGGAGAAGGGGAATGAGAAGGAGAAGGGAGAGAAAGGGAAAGAGAGAAGAGAAGGGGGAGGGGGAAGTAAAGGGGAGAGAGAGGAGGGGAAGACCTCAGAGAGAGTGTGGGGAGGGGAAGGAGACTGGGAAACTAGATTGAGTTTTTGAAGAAAACAAAAAGATCCTATCATTTTTTCAAATGGTGAATCCCTGTTTCAGGACTGACAGACAAAACACTGACATTCCTTTCTCCACCCCTAATTAAACACTGTCCTGTCAATCAAAGCCTCATGCTGGGGTGTCCTGAAGGACCTTGATTGAAGGGATGAATCATTTATTAAGCCCTTACTATGTGCCAGGCATTGGGTGGGAATACAAAGAAGAAGATGGTTCCTGCTCTTCGGGAGCTTCCATTTTTGTGGAGGAGACAATGCCTGGGAAAAAGCTACCAGTCAGATAGAAAAGTCCCTGAGGGTAGAACAGCAAAGCAGATGGAAATGCCTCTTCTTTGATGTCAAGTCCACCAATAAAAATCATATCCATTTCTGATGCAGAACCGTGTGAACTATTGGATGGGGCTGGGAGGATGGCTGAGGGCACTGGACTGGAAGTCTGGCTGTTCCCAAGGTTTGGGTTTAGGGGCCTGGGCTGCTCTCATCAGGGTCTATGGGGAGGTGTCCAAGGTGGAAGTGGTTAAGGGTGGGCGAGGCTGAACTGGAAGCAAGACCACTGAATGCGCCAAAGGGACTTCTGTGGTCTCTTTTAAGGTGGTGATGAGGAAGGTGGGCCCCTTTTACACAGTGACTTATCCCCTCAATGATGGCTGCGGCCTCTGGGCTGAAAGCAGTTCTGGTTATTGGAAGGACACCGCTATTTCTAAAGCTTTTGGGTTTAGCATTCAGGGATGTCCCCCTCAGGATCTGAGGGGAAATGGTGGCCTTGTCTCTGTCTTTTGGGTAACACTGACAAATTTCAGGTCTGGTCTCAGGCTTGAAAGAATTAAGTTGGTTTGACTTAGCTGACATGTGCTCTTTTTCTGTTTC